TTTATCCTAATTTTTCTTTATAATAGCCACCATATAGGGCTAATTAACCTAGAGATAGTATGTCAAACCTCAAGTCCAAATTACCCTAGAGAGAGTTGATTTGGGTGAATTTCAACCCAAATTAGTCGGTTTGGTTTGGTTTGGTTAGGTTCGGGCTTTTAGTCCAAATAATTTTTTTTTTAAATGTTCACATTTTGGCCCAATTAGATTACAAGAACTAAAATAACTAAATAATTTTATATTACAAGAATTATTGATTAACAAATAAAATCATGTTACTAAAGATAGATCAACAGAAAACTTAGAAATTTTGTTGCCTTTTTATAGATTATGTAGCCTGACTGTTTGAGTGAGGAAAAAGACTAAATATAACATAATAAGCTTGTGATAGAAAATTTTCATTAATATTACTTATCGGCAATATCATAGATTGGAGGGAATCGTGATATAATTATGAGATTATGGCTTATTTTTTGATTTTTATTTGTGTTAAAAAATTGTAGATATATAAGTGGATTTGGTTTGCTCGATTAATCAGCGGTTCAAAACTTCAATCCATGACCGAACCACCATGATTTTATTTAAAAGAAAAACAAATCAAACCCTGACATAGGGACCCGAGTCGGTTCAATTTGATTGGTTTGATCGATTTTTCAATTTATGGGCTGTCGCTCTTGCCTTATCATGTTAGTTGTTACGATGTTTACCCGTTCTTTTCCGGTGTTTTGCGACGATTTTGGTGGTGATTTTGCCGCATATTTTGAGATGATTTTTTGGTGGTGGTGTAGGCAATGTTATTGTATAGCGATGGTGGCGGGGCGGGTTTATGAATTTTTTGGTAGGCATGGTGGTTGTGGTATGGTATAGCTGGAGATAGAGGAGATGGCTGTGGCGGTGGTGGTTTGGTGACGATGGTTTTGGTGCTTTGGCAGTGTGCTAAGGGGTGTGGTGGTTTTGCGACAATTGTGGTAATGCTGGTTTTAGAGACGGTGGTGCAAATGGTGGTGGGGGTGTTGAGTAGGTTGGATTGGTGGTGGTGGGAATGGGGTGTGAGAAGGGTGTATGTGACTAATTATTTAAATGTTTTGACCATTAAATTGTTAATTCATGATCAGTAAATAATATGAGACCTAGAAGAATGTGTGATTGTGATTCATAATTTGATTACTTCCGACCAATTAATTCAATAATTTGTGATCGTGAAGTAAGTTGTGACCTATTAACTTTGTGATTCGTAACCGATAAATAATTTGTGATCAATTAAGTTGATAATATGTGACCAAGAAATAAGTTATGACCTATAACTACGTAATTGTGACCATAATGTATTAATTTAATAAACTATATTTCTAATTAATTATTTCATAAATAAAATTTAATTAATATATGATTTTTGAAATAATAAACTTTATTTCTTAATGTTGAAATCAGTCATACTCAATCACTAAGATCTGACATTTGGGCAACATACAAAAATATCCTTAAAATTAGGGTTTTTTTTTTTTTTTTAAATCATATGAAAAGTTTTTTAAAAGTAAAAAATAGTGCATGATATTAAAAAGTGATACAATGTTACTTTTTTTAATAAAAATTGTCACTTTTTAATTAAATAAAAAAGTGACACGATGTCACTTTTAAAAGTTAAGTGTCACTTTTTTATTAAAAAATGACATATAATGTCACTTTTATTAAAAATTGATGTTTGTTACTAAAAAAGTGAAAGAAATCAAAGTGACTGAAAAAAGTAACAAAAATTCAAAGAAATGCCAGAATTTTTCTTTTTAAAAAAAGTGAAGAATTTAAAAGGTAAGCCAAATTTTTAAAAAAAAAAAAAAAAAAGTAACACAGATTAAAAGAAGAGATAAATATTAAAAAAATGATAAACACTCAAAAGTGACAAAATTCAAAAAAAATGACAAACTCAAAAAAATGAGAAAAATAAAAAAAATTGATATAAATTCAAAAAAGTGACAAACACTTAAAAGTAATGAAATTCAAAACAAAGTGACAAACAATTTGGGAACCACCCTACCCGTCCTTTCGACTGTTCAAATACTAGACTAACCTGAAGATGATAACCCTTCGGCTTCACTAAAGTTTGACCACTTGTATGGATCTCCTCCCCAAAAGTCCTAATGAGGCTTTCTTTTATTTCTAAAGCATGTCACACCACTGCCTCTGTGTTCTCCACCTGCTTTATCATCTATTTCGTCTATTGAAATGTATGCCTTCAAACAAATAAGATTTGAAGTTCCTACTAAGGGAAATTTTTTATGTTCAAATACGTCTTTTCCATCAGATAGCAGAAAAGATTCTTAACAACATGGAGTTGGAATTCTATAAATGGGATGGACACTTATACAATCTGTGAATCTATAGCGGAATGTTCGGGAAAAATTGAACTGAGTTGCTGAAGTTACTTCTTTAATGCCCATTTTTCTGAATTTATTGCGGAATCTTTAATCTTTTTTAACTAGCGTCTTATCCAATACTAAGATGTGGGAATTTTGGTTAGAATAGGATGAAGTGGGGAGAAGAATCATTGCATGGAAGAAACAAAGAAATGACGAGTAATGCCGTTTGTACATGCGTGGGACCCGAACCCCATGTGAGGGGGGCGGTGGGGCTGGGTAACCGGGCGTGTAAACGCCCGAGTACGAATAGCGTGGTTCAGAAATCATTCCAGTTTTCTAGGGATATCTCAATTGTCATAATGAACGAAATTGCACTTTACACATGTAAAAATTTCTTTTTGGGAGTTTTCTGGAACAGACTAGTGATTTGGATTTTGAGGGTTTCGACAGATTTAGAACGTATTATTACCTGCTTAAATGATTTAATTAGTTATTAGAGCATTGATCAAATTAGTTAATTTTTAAAGACATTGGGCCTAATTTTCCCATTAAATTTTGAGAAAAACTCATCGATAAGAGACTAAGTATGTCACATTTCAAAATTAAGAAACAAAGTTTCAAAGTTCAAAAATAAGATATTTTAAAATCTCATTTATAAATTAATTTATTTAACATATATTTTACTAATTAAATATATTGAAGTCACGATTCTATATAAATTGGTTACAGTTATCTAATTAATTAGTCATAGATTAATTTTTACTTACAATTTATCAAATTATTGGTTACAACTTATTTCTCGGTCACAAATAAAAAAAATTATGGGCTACGAATTATTTTTTTGATCACAAATCAAAAATTTTATAGGTCACAGAATCAAAACTTTTATTTGTCACAACTCATTTTTTCATTGCAAATTAGTAAATTGATTAGTTATGATTAATTTTTCGATCACAACTTAATCAATTGTGAGTCACAATCACAATTTTTAGGTCACATATTACAAATTAACCAATTATTAGTCACAATCAACCAAATAATTGATCACAAACATCCAACCCCATTTCATTCTACTCACAACCATCGGTACGACCACTACAACCACCATCACTATCAATATTACCACCACCACCACCTCATGACAACCTGTCAACACCACGACACACCAATAGATTCATCACCACAACAGAGCATCGCAGCCACCAGAGCCTCGTCGCCACCATCGTCGTCGCAGTGACCACCACCATCACGGTATCACCATTAGCCACTACAATGACCACCATCACCATCAGTCACCACCACCTCTACCACACAAATTAGGGATTAAACGACACCACCACCATCACCTCGGCACGACAACCACCCAACAAAACTGGATCCAAAGAATTGCACCATTGTCGTTGCAGCGACCACCACCATCACCATCAGTCACCACAACGATCACAACCACCACCACCATTAGTCACCATCACAATTCGTCGCCACAACGACCACTACCATCACCATGATACCATCAGTCACCACCACAACCACCATTTCTACCATACAAATTAGGGATTAAACGACCACCACCACCACCACGATCACCTCACCACCACAGCCACCAAACAAAATTGAATCCAAAGAATTGCATACCAGATCTACAAGTTGTCTTTGATTCACCGGTGCTTGAAAATGACCAGAACTACCCACCGGTGGAGAGAATGGATACCAGATCTACGGGCCATTTTCAATTCCTCGGTGCCCAAAACGACCAGAACTTCAGAGTGACGTCGTTGCGATGGTAGCATCTTCAGTATTGTGGTACGGTGTCAACGTCATGAGCAGCATGGTGCCAACGATATCTCAACGGTGATGTGCGAGAAAGAGGAGAGAAGTGAGAGATGGAGAAAAAATTGGGAATTCTGAAATGATTAGGGTTTTTGTATATTTAATAAAACTTTGATTTTTGAAATGTAAAATTATCAACCTGATTTTAGAATGTTGAATTTTTAAAGTAGAGCGTGGTGTAATTTTCATTTTCAATTTTCCTCCATACCTTTCTTCGTGACAAACTTTATATGGGCCGGCCCCGCCCCCAGGGCATATCTCCCAGTGGCAAAGGGGAGGGCGGATAGGGCTCAGCGCGGCAGTGTGCAAAGTTCGATTCCCCGCAAGGTGGAATTGACTTTGTTGCAAGCGGGAGTTACCATATGGGTTAACAGCCTTGGCCTATCCATATACTCTCTACCCTGGCTCCTGGAAGGCACATCCTGCGATTTACCTCCTCCACGATGGCCCAGGGCAGGGTCCGTGGGGCCCCTAAGGTTGGGGTTCAACCTTTTTTTTTTTTTTTTTTTTTTTTTTTAAATTTTTATATGGGCCGGCCCATTTATGACCTTTTCTGCAAGTCACTGTCAGATCTAGAAACCAAATGTCAAAACGGTCACAGCATGCCGACCGACTGCCACGACTCTTCTTATGTTATTATACACGTTGTACGGTTATCTGTATCCAATGAAATCGCATTGAGTTCTTGTACTTTTGACAATACTGTCAACCTTCTACCAGAACAGATTCTGGAAACCCCAACGTACAACTGTTTGAAGCATATGTTGTTGCAATTGCAATAGTTAATAGTGCAGGTGATTCCTCCCACATTGGGGACTAATATACTTTCGCCATCAACTCCACCTCACTCTACCGCCCAACCTATACAGAGAGATACCCAAATGGAACCAAAATTCGGTGGCGGCGCCCGGCCCCGCAACCACCAGTACCACCACGGCATATCCTCCGAGAGACTACTCGGATTATTCCAATCCCCGGTAACCACATCGTCTACACCCTCGTTTGAGCTTACCGAACATGAAATCTTCGACATCCCCTCTGAGTCCTCTTCTCCAACTTCGGTTCACAGCTCTAAATCGAATAGTCAAGTTCATAGTCATAATAATTTCGGCATATTAGCAGTTCTACCCGGTGGAATTGGAGATTTCAAAACCGGATCGAACACTGAAGCCGGAGCGGTTTTCAACCACAAGGCATCCACCTCCGCGTCACTTGCGTCCTCGACATCTTCTTCTCCTGCCTCGACATCCTCGTCTCGAATTAAGATCCCTTCAATTCCGAAAAGGCCTGCGACAGTGACTGATAAGATGCGGTTTTACCATCAGTCGGCACCGGTGAATGTTCCAATACTATCGGCGGCAATGCAGAGGAGACGAAATGAGTTTCTTGATGTGGTTGACGACGTTGAGGAGGTTGAGGAAGAGGAGGGGAATGGGGAGGTTGTTCCACCACACGAGATGATGGCAGCGAAGCATTCGCCTTTATTGGCGTGCTCGGTCCTAGAAGGGGCTGGCCGGACATTGAAAGGGCGAGATCTGAGGCAGGTGCGCAATGCTGTTTGGCGGAGGACAGGTTTCATGGATTAAGTTTATAACTATTAAATTTTACTATTTGTAAATTGTGGGGATTCCTGTCTGTTTGGCTTCAATAACATGATTATCTTTGTATATTGTAGTGGATATATTGTATATAAATGCCAACCGGACTGAAAGCTAATTTGCCATTCTGTTTCTTTTCATTTGTATTTAATGTTTAGCTTTATTTTGTTGTGGTGAGGGAAGCATTTTTCTATCTATTTTGGGTGGAGAAATACTGTTGTTTGGATAATTGGCCAAAATTTCTTAAATTTTATCAATCCTTATAATCATTTAAATAAAAAGTTAGTCTTGGGAAGATTGTAGTGCATAAGCTGAATTTTAGTGTCGTTTCATATTAGATGGATTAGATATTGATTGAACTAAAATGGCAAAAATAATAGTTAGTAGATACAGTGATACAGATGCATGTTCGAACTTTTAGCAATTAGATTGTTCTTTTTTCTTTAGAACGATCATTTCATGCTCAACACTGTGGACAATAAGTGCATAGCAATATGACTCTGCTCTCTCCACTTGTCCTTGATATGAGATGGTCAAGTAGCAAAACACCATATCAAGTGCTACAATTCATGTCCTTGAAATTGTTACTTATTCCAAATTGTTAAATAGTGTTACTAAGATGCACAGAGTTCACTGCGGAAAATTTATTTCCAATTCACTGCATTTTTACATGGTGGAAAACAGGTAGTGACTGGTAGGAATTGAGTCTTGAGAATTACAAGTTACTGTGAATCAAAATTTTATCATTTATTGGCACTCATGAAATCAAATTCATTGTGTTTTTCAATCACTAAAATTATATTAAAAATCAAAATGTAATTTTTAAGAACTAGATAATTCATATAGATCTTGGTTTCCTCGTATCTGGAAATAGTGTGAGCTAAGGACCCAATGAATTTCAATCTATGAGAACCTGCATTTTACAATTCCTTTAGAATATCGAATGCCTTCCCACCAAAGGGATGGACCCTCGTTCACTTTTCGCTGTATCAACAATTGAAACAAGGTTCACTGCACTCCCCATTATGCGGAGTTGGAAGTGCTGTTGGTTCGTTGATAACTTAAATGAGGAAAGATTGATATTTTATTAAGCTTAGAGTCTCAGCCTTGGGAAATTATTGAACGTCCATCTTGAAAGCTTTGTTGTCTACTTAAGTAGACCCAAATGTTAGAACTCTAGAAATGGATAGGAAATTTTGTTTCAATTTAAGTTAGCGGAGAACTTTACTCTATAAGTGAAGGGCATAAATATAACTAGTAGTTTCTTAAGAATCCCAAGTTCAGTTTAAGGCAGGAAATTATTAAAATTTTACATTGTCATGAAATATTAGAAACTGAAAAGGAATGTCTATCAAAATAATGGGGACAGATAGAGTTATCAAAATTTGTGTAAAGAAATACATGAGGAAAATGTGCAAGGGAATATTAACTGATATAGAAGTTGCTTGCATGTTTTCTTAGATTCTGCTGCTTGCCTAATACTTTCGATTTTGCACTCTTAAGTTTCACCTTATTTCCATGGACGTTGTGTAACTTCATTGAGGCAATGTGAAGTATGATTGCTGTATCAAAGTATTGGCTTCACTTGTGTTTTTGAGGCTTGCGTTGTTTTTATAGTCCTAGGTGTACCTCAGGTTCTCCCAAGTAGGAGTCGGTGGGTCCCACTATTCTAGTGATATGATCAAAGACATGCCTTCTTTATTGTTGAAGGGTTTCCATGTATATCTATCTAGTATACTGTGCATCTCTCTAAATTAGATGTTCACATCCTTATAAATTATTTTTGCCTCCATTTGGGGGCATAGTTTCTAGTTTGCCTCCATTCGGGGGCATGGTTCAATTTAAGTGTTGACCAGGCAATCTTGGTAGCTGGGTCAGCCTTGCTAGTTTTAAGAAGGCAACGAAAAGGCATTCCACCTGCGAACATGATTCTTTATGTCTGAAAGTTTACCCTCTTTAGCTTTGGATATATTTTTCTTAGAGTCTACATCTGAGACAATGTGAACATGCTTCAGATTGAATATGGTTTTTTAACTTCACTGAGGCAATGTGAAGCATGTGTGCTATATCAAAGTTTTGAGATAAATTATTTTTGCCTCCATTTGGGGGCATGACTCAATTTAAGTGTTGCCCAGGCAATCTTGGTAGATGGTCAGCCTTCCATCTGGGAAGGCAATGACACTTTGCCTTCCACATGTGAACGTGATTCTTTATGTCTGAAAGTTTACCCTCTTTTAACTTTGGATATTTTTCTGAGAGTCTACATCTGAGACAATGTAAGCATGCTTCAGATTGAATATGGTTGATACTTTTAAGAAAGTTCCCATTTTAATGTTTTAAGAACTTATTCTTCTCTTTTTGTTTTTTTTTGATGATTCAAATGTGCTTCGGAGGTTTATAGAAAAGTTCTGCGTCAGACATATTCCAATACGCTTGTTTTGGTCATCTAGATTTATGAGACAAGAATGTAGGTTTTTGTCAGCCAACAAATTTACTGTGACTATATGATGGTCCGATTGATATATACAAAGGGTTTCTAACATTTTACTTAAGCCCTTGTTTGAGTCCCATTCTTTTGGAAAAATACATTTTTCAACAGTGTTTTGACATCATTTCAATCACACATTCTTCAATTAAATAATATTACACATAAATCCCAAATTTTTCCTTGTTTTTTAACCACACTTTTTCCATCAATACACTATTCAAAAATTCATTCTTCCAAAAAAAAAAAAAAAGGGGCTTAAACAAGGGCTAAATAGTTAAATACTATTAACAGAATGCTGAATTAATTAAAATTTAAAAATTACGCTTTCTTTCTGCTCACTTCTGCTCAAATCTAAGTTTGATTCTGGACTTTAGTCTTTGGTAATTCTCATTTCTCAGTAATCACTATATCTGATATGGTTATCAATCTAAATGATTGACCACCATGCTATTTCAGTAATACTAAATTCAATCTTTGAGCTGTTCTCATGTTCAGTTATAACGTTTTAAGATATTTGTTCTGCTTGAGGCCTAACATATGGGAGACAGTTCTCTTTCTGTGAAGAATGTATATTTACTCAAGCGTTTGATCTATAAAATCATCTAGTAGATGCCATCTTAAGAAATCTGATGCTTTTAAAATTTGAATGTTCTGAATCTGTCAATGGTTTATCATGATAATATGTGCTGGTAAAAATTATTGGGATGTTGTTAAGGCTTTAGTCATGCCTTGGAGACTCCTTTTACATATAAGATAGAAAACATGGTTGAACTCAATTCGGATGACGAAGATTTTAGGACATGCTAGATTCTGTTGGAGCTAATTTGGAAGATGACCTGTGGCATCACAGAATCTCTTCTATTCGAGTTTGAAGAACAATTTATTTTGTCCTGAATTATTTGTAGTTAGTTTCTCGACTTCTAAGTGGGAATTATGGGACATTGTGCTCTTAGATCTCTGGCTTTTGAAATTCCTAGGTGATGTATCTTTTCTTCTTTGTTCCCCATTCTGTTTACTGTTATTTTATTGTTGTTTGAAATGGTACGGATCCATTTAATTTTGCTTCACCAGTTCTATTTACATCTTAAGAATGCAGAAGCTTCGAGTCAAATTAACTTTTAAGAAGTTTTGGGGTTCCAGCTTGATATAAACAGTCCTCGAGCTGAATTTAACCTTATATAGAGGTAGACTTTTGTATTGGAAGGAGTTCCATGCGGGCGATTCAACGTTACTGGGTATAACGGTTTATTGTTCTGCTACTGAGGTAGCTAGCTTATCTTTGGTGTAGCATAGAAATTATTGATGAATGAGCAAGTGTTCAAGTGGATTAGAAGTTTCCCGGCATCAATGCCTGGACGATTTCTAGGTACTGAGCTCTAGTAGTTGGGACACCAGATTGAATGCATCTTAAATTGGCTTCCTAAGTTGGTCAGATCGTAAATTACCTCCAGTTTTGAATGACGTTGCTATATTCTATTTCCCATTATTGGGATGGTCCATACCATTCAATATTTCCTCCAATTCCACTTCCAAAATCGAATAGGGGTGACAAAAAAATCTGTAACAAGGGCTCCACCCCGTCCCGTTTAATATATATATATTTTTTTTAAATTCAATACTTCAAATGGAAAACGCAACGAAATTTCATTACTTTTAATAAAATATGACAATTAAGATTATTTAAAGAATATGATAAACAATAAAAAGTTTGGTTTATTAAATATATTTCACTAATTT